TGTTGAACGAAAATTGAAAATACATACTTCAACTCCTTTGAATGTTCCAGTAAAACAAAGAGCCATTCTTGCAATGAGAGTGCCAACCGTTTTCTCATCTGTGAAGTCACCCATGCATCGAAGAATATCACTTGAACGAAATCCATTGAATGACGAATAAAACCAAAAACTACGATCTCGTAGTTGACTGTTTGAACATAATAAAAATTCAAATTTTCGTTGTCCTACCAATATTTGTTTTGAAAGAAATATTTCTTTTAAGATATTTCGATATGATTTCATTAGATCAATTTGTACTGTTTCCATATCACAATCTCGTATCAACACACGACAATAGTGAGTTTCCGATCCAAATTGTTCTTGTCGTAGCACACGATTAGACCGAATAGGTTTTAACGGTTGTGGATATATCCCGTAAGGTGTCAGAAATATTCGTGATACATATATATAATTTGTTTGTGTTGGTGGAATCCAGTGTGGTTTTGTATCATAAAATTTCTGTTCAATGTTATAAAATCGATTATCTTTTGCACAACGATAAATAGCAATTATTTTTTGGTAGAATTTATGTTGGGGATATGTTTCATCTTTTGATCTATGAGCATACTGTTGAATTTGTTTCATTAATCTTGGTGATAATTTGTCTTTTATCTGATAACCAAGACTCAATACCATTTCCCAAACATAATTAGATAAAAAATTATTGTTATCTATTAATTTGAACAATGTTTCATTCTGTACTGGTGCATGATGAACATTAATTTTCGCATAGTAACATTGAATATTCATTGTATTGGTCATAAAATTAATAAATTCGTTTGCAAAATGATCATTTTTAAGTGTAATATGAATTGCTGATGTATCAGCCAAGTCTTCTTTTGTTATATTGTCAGAAAATTGAAATATTCGTTCCGAAAAATTCTCATTTTCGTATTTATAACATCTTACACATCTTTTTAATGGTATTACTACATGAATCTCAGGTGAGTTTCTTTCTACATGCATAAGAATATAATTATCCAGGCAGTTACGAGACAATACAATTTTGTGATAATATTGTGCAACCGCATATCGTACAATGGAAACTTCTTTTCGTTTGTTATCAAGATGCATCTGCAAGGGTTGATCGGTAATAGATTTATGGTAGTAATAACACATCATATTGTAAAACGAACCAATTGTTAAAAATAAGCATTGCCCTCGAATAAATTCCAGTGATGGATTGATTGTCAATGATTGGTCGCTCTGACAGAGTTGTGTTGACTTCAACCAAATATTGCATACTATACAGAAAATTCCACTTTTCAGGTTCTACTGTATATGCAGAACATGAGTTTATTTTCTAAGAGTTTCAAGTAAATTGAAGAAATGAGTTCAGTTCTATAAAGAGCATACATTCTGAACAGAATTACCGCCTCATCGATAATAAAACGATGAAAAAACGGTGCATATTAAAACACTAAGTGTAATTTTGTATCAAAAATCCCCGAATCATTTTGTTTTTCTTTTATGTGCGTACTGAGTACCCTACACAAAATTCTGTATTTGTTATCTATTTCCCACTGGGATCCTTTAGGAACCTAAATGTTTAGGATTCTATTATGGTCACTTGAACCTGATAGAGACGTGCAACCCGACGCGTACTCGATTCGTACCCATGTCCGACCTCACCTGAGGGTAAGATGTAGTCGGGTACGGGTCCGGTACGGATAGAGCAGTTACGCGTACAGATCGGATACGGGTTCCGTTTCTTTTAATTTATCGGAAGACCGGGAGGTTTTAGTGGAAAACAATAGTTTTTTATACAAGATTTTAGCTAAAATACATGACGTTTTAAAGAGTTACTTGAGAACGCAATGATAACTTACCATCTCCAGCCGAAAAAAAGAAAACGTTTTAGGTGGAAAACGAAAAGGATAAAAGTTTTAGGTAACAAGTGGGATACGGATATAAGGTTCTCGGGTCGAGTATGAGTGAAAAACAAATTTCGAGTCGAGTACGGGTAGGAAAACGTTACCCGTGCAATCTCCAGTTTCGGGCTCAATCTTAGATGTTAGGCTCCTATCAGGAATCTGGAGCAGATCCTAACATTTAGAATCCTGCCAGAACTTTGTTTCTCAATGAAGAAGGATAGTTAATCTCAGGTTGAAGTAATAAAATGTATACGAGGCATTTTTAAATGTGTTTGAGAGTTACAAAGAACCATATGGTAACGTTCAGTCAAATAATGGAATGAATGGAGAAATTTTATGAGAGACGAATAGATGAGCAATCCTGTGATATTCCTGTTCAAGACTTATACTTTCCTACTAAAATTCTAAATAGTTCCTGCTGCATTATGATTCAGTCATCGTATTTTCTTGTTAGGATCTAAATAGGATCCTCTAGCAAATCCTAGGACTTTCCGGTAAACTCAATTTCTTTAGGATTCTATAACATTTTCCTATGATTCTACCAAAAGGTAAGCTAAATCGTAATAGGACTCTGGCAGAAAATGTATAGATTTCTTACTAGGGTACGGTGGTCTACTGAGAATTCTACATTTCTTCCGTCAAAAAAATCACAAGCATTCTTATCTGAAACATTCATTAAATTTTAACTTACATTTGAAATTGTCTTGTATTATTGAAAAATAATTTGTGTTCTGCTGGACACTGTGAACAAAGTGTATTGTTTTGAGACCATTTATTCTTAGAATGTTTTTCTTGTTCATTGTCAGTGGTACTGCGTTAAATTGTCGTTGGAAGTTTTGTAAGGCATTTACAAAAGGAATGTTATTTAAATCATAGCCATGATGGTAGATTAAGGTTAAACACATGTCTATTGTTGGGATTACAACAGGACGCCAAACTGTAGACATCGGCATCAAAAGAGGAGGCTGTAGGATACTTGTTCTATTCTCATTGTATCCCGTTGGAACGAGTTGGGTTGACGGTGGAGATCGCTGCATCTGTTCTTGTTTAGAGTCAAAAGACTAAGGAGATTAAGATGTCTGTCAATAAAAAAGGGAAACATGCATTTATATCACAAATTGTATAGAGATTCTGCCTTAAATAATACATGGACTACACACCTATCCGCTGTTGTATCACTGTGCTAATATGTATTGAAGTACTTTCGACTGTTATCTACTTGTTCTTGCTTGCTCGATTATAATAAAATTACCTGTTCTACTCAAAACCTATCTCACGCCGTATAATTACATTTTACCTTTTATATTTCGGACTATATTCTACGCGTCGATATAGATGAATATTGTCCTCTCGCCTTTCTTTTTCTCTTATTTGTAGAAAGAGAAAGAAAACGGAAAATCTGTTCTGGTGACAGAATGAAAGAAATTTTTGTTTTATATTATCAGTAATTCAACTTCACCTAAAGCTAAATTATATGTTTTTTTCTAGCGAACAAAATGAAAGGGAATAATTTTTGTCTTTTAGTCCAAGTGGTGGTGCTTTACTTTTCTGCAGAAGAAAAATATCGGTTATAATGAGTTTAATGCAAAATCGCTGAACTTAACCAGTTAAATAAAAATTAATCAGGGCGTGTCCATTTCTAGTATACGATACTGATCTATTTTTTAGAAAAGGGCTCCTTTTAATCTTTGAGAAGTATGGCTGTAAATATTCATAATTACTGTGTAAAAAAGGAAGTTTTCCAGAAAAGCAAAAGATGTATCTGAAAGTCGACAAGGAAAAACAATTTCCTTTTTCAAACGATATTCACTGCCATATTTCTATATATTTTGAGATGTTTCCTTTGTCATAATGGTTAAAAAATGTCAAGAAAAGTATGAAAATATTGCACAAAATTTAAAGTATGTTTGATGAGCCTTCCTTCCATATTACTAACATACACATTTAATTAATCAAACATATATCTTGTAAACCATATCTAAATTAAACGTTTTCTTACATTTTGTCTGAATTAGTGTACATATTTTGTTTTCTCAAACAAAAATATCAAGTTCTGATTCTGATCATATACATCATAAATCACAAACGTTTTTAACTCTTTCTTGAAACGTTTATTTGCCTATTCTGAACGATATTTTCCGATATGTCCGTCTTAATACCGATGTGAAACTTCTTTTTCTCGGTGATTACCATGACCAGAAGTGAACGTCGGGAAGTGTTGATAGTGGAAAAAACTTTATTTAAAAGTGATGTAGCGACTCAAGAAGAAACTATTTTTTGATGAAGCTAAGCAATGATATTCGTGACGCTCTATCTCAACAACCAGAGGGGCCCTATTTCTGAAAAATAGTTCGACATGTTTTCGAACATTTTATTTCAGATAGATAGAAACTAGAAATGAACATTTTCTGATTAATTTTTATTTAACTGGTTAAGTTCAGCGATTTTGCATTAAACTCATTATAACCGATATTTTTCTTCTGCAGAAAAGTAAATCAACACTTGAAAAAAGACAAAATTTATACGCTTTCATTTTGTTCACTAGAGAAAAACATATAATTTAGCTTTAGATTAAATTGAATTGTGCAATAGAGCTCTAGCAGTTAAAAAGCATGCGATTGATTCTCATTCATTCTATTCTCATTCCCATTGTTTTTCTCTATCTATGACTCATTTTTGCGTTACAAGCGAAAGAAAATCTATGAAATGGGTTCGCAAAAATGAGTCATAGATAGAGAAAACAATGGGAATGAGAATCAATCGCATGCTTTTTAACTGCTAGAACTCTAATATATAACAAACATTTCTTCCATTCTGTGATTAGAACAGATTTTTCGTTTTCTTTCTCTTTCTGCAAATAAGAAAAGGCGAGAAGACAATATTCATCTAGATCGACGCGTTGAGCGTAGAATATAGTCTACGTCTACGTATTCTATTATTTTTGACGGCTTGCCTAACTGAGTTTTTTTGACTAATATAATAAGAATTGAACACATTTCGAATGACTAAGAGCAAAACCATTTTCTCTTTTTGTTATTCAGTAAACCTATTCGTTTTAATGTGATTCTGTAATAGCAGTAATGAAGCTGTGTCACGATCTCTTCTAGGTTTGTTTCTCGTAGCAACGACATAAAGTGTTTGTTGACATTTCATTTCCATTGACATCCGATTTTCTTATTACACGTAAAACAAGATGAGTGAATTTTCTTTTTGAGTGCTTATCTAAATACTTGTTTTAATGGAAAGAAAAAAATACACATAAACATCACTTTCATGCTTATTGTGTAATTACGAAACGACAACTTCCTATTTTGTATGACGCAGAAGATGTATGTCTTTAGTGTTATACAGCTGTATCTCCAGATAGTGTGACGAGTGAGAGAAAGCGAACTGACAGGTGCTTTTTTACTGATAAAAGCATACAGAAGTTGTTATATTGTTTTGATTATTATTAAAGGAAAGAAAATGAAAGAGAAATTATTGATGACTAATACAGACTGTGAAAGTTGGAAAAAACCCACTGTGACGGATGGAGATGTCGACCAGATAGCTCAGCGGTAGAGCATAGATATAGAATGCCAAGATACCGAGTTCGAATCCTAGTCTGACCACACATTTTCCCTTTATACCCACTAGCACCGTTATAATTTCCGTATTAAACTGAGTGAAGGAGTATCAACGCTATTTTTCTATAATTCAGAAAAAGTAGAATTTTCTCAGACAACGCGAAATTTCTGCGCGAGGGTAGATAAGAGAAGGCATTGGTTTCTAAAATTTGTGACGATGACTCAGGAGAAGCATATTTAGTAAAATAGTATTGAGAGAGATAGTTCAAAATTGTTTATGTGACTCCTTTTCCGGCTGATGCAATGGATTCTTTAATTCCCCCTATAAAGAAAGCAGTAGTTGGATGGATTAAAAGTAAAATAATACCTGTTTAAGAGTGAAAATTGAGAATCTTTTTCAGAAATGAGCTGGAAAATCTTGTAAGAGCAATCCCTTTCCTGTCTAAAATATAACTCATCTTGATTGTGTGAGTTAATGCGTTGTACGTTTAACAATTATTAGGTTGGTGTAAGGTAATTTAAGAATGTCACTTTACTTCATTTTTAAGAGCTTGCCACAGGGAGCAGAGGATGGGGTAAAAATCCAGCAAAAATGCTAGTAGTGCGAGATCATAGTTTCCGCTTTTTCATCCTT